ATAAACTCTTGATTCTTGAAAATCATCTTCGAATACTGGTTGATCTTCATTAAAAATCAATGTTGAAGATATTGTTGATTCTCCACTTTTCGTTCTCATACGCTGTAATTCAATTGCTATTTTATCTGGTATAGTTAATAGTTGTTCATTATAATTAATAGTTTCTTGCTGAATTTTATCAGCAACCATAAATGCATTTGTATATGTATCATTTAATGATGGCAAAATTGACTCATGTCGTTTTTTTCTTTGTTCATTTATATTTAATGATGTTTCATTAATTACTATTGCAGGCTTTCTTGAAATATTTTTTTGTTCACTTAGTGATGATTCTGGACTTGTATGATTCATATGAAGATTTCGTAATGTATCATAAACACTTTGTAGAAAATCATTTTTTTTCTGTTCGACAATTTCATTGCCTATATTATGATCATGATGATAACCACGAAATAAAAATAAACCTAATAAACCAATACAAAATCCAGCTATACCTAAATAAATCATAGCAGATGGATCTTCAATATGATTTGGATTGATTAATTTATTAATTGCATCAACAATAATTGAAAATGATAATGATAATAGAAGAACTTCTTGTAAAAGACCAGCAAGTAATTCTAAACGAGCCCAACTATAATAAAAATTAAAAAATGAACATGTTTCTTTTAGAAAAAAAAAATATTCAATTCAAAATTTTACCCAAAAGTATTTTTAGCATGTAAACGTTCAGCTTTTGCATAACGTAATGCAACTAATGAACCAACTAATGCAATACCTTCAGCAAATGAAAAAAGTCCATCAGCAATGAGTAATTGTGATCGAGAACGAATTCCATATCCAATTTCAGCTATTGCTATACCAACTGTTAGAATAAGCATAATAATCATGCGACCAGTTTTCGATGGTATCAGTCGAATACACCAACATAGACGATGCCATGCCATCATCTACTTATTTTTGACCTTATCAATATTGTTGTTGCTGTTGTTATTTTCGTCCTTAATGGCACTTATTGTCAAAACAACAATATATGATAATCATGTTGACATGAGGTATGAGACCATATAACAGGACGAAGCCAAATGGATTGATGACATGAGTCTAGAATTTATAAGCAAAATATATTACTTATAAAGCAATTTACAAACAAAATTTCCATATATGATAACGGATCATTGGTATCAGGTGGTATCCACAGCTGTTGCCTGATTCTATGATGAGAAGCGCATGAAATCATACAGAGCAACTAGTAATATAAATAAATTGTCAGACGATTCGGAAAACATAAGACAGTTATTGATTAAGAAACGACCTTATTGAGAACAAAGGTTGTTGTATCACAGAGAAAAAATCGAATGAAACTTAATTTTATGAATCTCTCTCATTTTCAATTTTTATATCTTCTGATTTCTTTTCTTCGTTATTATTTTAATAATCATATTTGACTGAAAAAGAATTTTCAGAAATCTAGCTTAAGATAAAAGAACAGAGCTAATTTTCGTTTGTAGCTCAAGAAAAATTTTAACTATAATTCTTTTGTATAATTACTAGTCGGATTATTTCGTTTCATGTTAAATATGAGACTTATTGCATGTTGGAAGCATAAATGAGTATTCTATCAAAAAATTTCAGAGTTTTTTTTAATTTTTTTTAACTACAGAAGAAAAAAAGACATTAAAAAAGAAACATTTCCTTAAAATAACTTATCAAAAAAAGAATCTTAGCTATGTCTTTGTCGGTATGTCTGTAATGACATCGAAGTATGTTCTTGCTATATACTGCGTAGTCGAGTAAATAAATAACTGGTGATATTAAAATAAAATATCTTATAAATAAATCGATATCTATTATATAGATCTAATGAAATGTTTCGTTTATTTTTTTGTTTCTATATGTAACTAATATTTATTCTTTAAGTGTGATTTCTTGACTATAGTCTGTTTTCTTTATTTGTATCAATAACGAGGTTTATTTAATATCCTTAGTGATCGATGTGATATAATAATGATAGAATGAAAGAAATACTTTTTACCAGCTAGCCGTTGTATGTTTGTCATATTGTGTTTATACTTTAGAACGTTTCCTTTCTCTCGGCGACAGTTTTTTTTCTCACTAGTAATATTACCATACCATTCAAACTGCGCTTTTTCTGTTGTTACGCCTTTACTACTACACTATCTACGCATGTATTATTAATCATTTTTAGTCTGCTTGACCTTATCGGTTTTCTAGAGCTTTTTTTCGTAAGAATATACATCTACTGACATACAAGCAAACAGAATCATAATGATCTCTACGTGTTCTTTTCTAAATGATGAACGCGAAAATAAAATGACTTATTCATCCAAATACTTATTTAGAAAAATAATTTAATTGTATAAACACAATTTGATCATTTCTTTCGTATGCAAATTTTTTGTTACTCTTGATTGTTTCTAAAATCTATATGCAATACTTCACTCTCTTAATATACTTCATATTATGTAGAAGGAACTACGTATTTTGCTTGAAAATCTAGACAATATGCATGCAATAAGTCGTTGAATATTTCTTATGCGTGAATATTATACACAACATTTCTTTGTTTTTCTTTTATCTTAGTGTACGTGTCTTCAAAAAGCACGACAAGTGCTTTTTTCTCACCCGTCAAAAAATAAAAAGAAAGAAAGGCAAAGAAATAAGAATGGCCTTCCCGCGTAGACAAAAAAAAATGATAAAAGAACTCAAAAAAAGTATCAAGTTTATAGTAGACTAAACGAAGCAAGGAAACTAAACCCTATGGTCACAACACTTAGAAAGAAAAATAAACAAATCTTTAGTTGTTATCAAACGTAAAAGACAAGAATAATTTGACATAGATGTAAAAACAAAAGAAAACTGATGACTCTGACGTAAAATAACGGAAGATTTCAAGCGTTGATTTTTTTCCATCTGCATCATTTATTATGATTATGTTAGATAATTACATGTATCTTTAGAGAAAAAAAAGAAGAGAAGAAAAAGTATTCAAAGCCATGTTAAACTGGTAAATTAGTTTTTTACGCACTTTCTTTCTTTATATGTAAAATGATTACACTTGTTATTGAGACTTTTCAAAAACTAAAGTCTGCCATGTTAAATATCACGTCACTTTTCAAAATAAACAAACTTAATCATTTATGAGATAAATTTTGATGTAGATTGGATTACTGTCATAAAAAAAATAATTCTTTTTCTTTGACAACATCTCTCAAACAATCTAATTAGAAATTCTTAGTATTATTTTCTATTTTGACTAGAGTATCGAGGAGTTTCAATAGAAAGCAAATTATCATTGAAAATTTTTTTAAATATTACGCAAAACTCTTAAAAATCAAGCAACAACAACTTATACTTGCAGATTCACATCGTCAGTAGGTAGAGTTATGCTGTAAAATTACATGATTCATATTCAAGTGGACACAAATAAATAAAAATATGCTTTATTTCGTCATTGTTCAATACAAGTAATTCATAGAAATCAACAGACATTAATTAATAACAATTGATACTAATCATAAATGTTGGAAAATTTTTATGACTTCTATAGGTAATAATTATGGTAAGATTTTCTTGCATTATAAAAGATAAAATATGACATGCACGCAATAGAAGGAAAATATTTTTATTTATAATTTTTTCTTAGCTATGATATCATGCAAACGTCAATAACTATTGATAGTTTGCATTGTCAAATTTCAACAAAATCAGAAATAAATTTATAAGACAATCTAAAAGAAATGTTGTAGTATAAGAATATAAATTCAGCCCTCCCTCTCCCGTTATCCCTTCACAAATGTGACAGATACTGCTAGTAACGATTCATTACAAACATTACATTCATCTTAGCAATAACGCATCACAAACGTGACAAAGATCCATAGTAACATCTCTTCTTCATCAGCGACTGTGACAAATCCGTAACAACGTTCTCTCTCTCTTTACATCACGGGCCATAACAGACCTTATTGACACATAATCTATGATCGTGTATCAATATATCTCCAGTATAATATATGAACTATTTCCTTATTGTATTTTCGAACGGCTAAGGGCAAGGATGGTGAAGAAATGTATCCTAGGATAGATAGAAGACAATAATTTTTTTATAATCAGCAAGAGCCATTAGTTCGTGTTTCACACTTGAGTTCCGCAGAAATTGTACTATTTCATTATACAATTTAACTAGCGTCGAATGACAGGTTTTATTGATGAAACGAGTCATCACTTACAAAAATATGTACAATATTGATGTTCTATAATGATTGAAATTATCGTGCAACGAAACTCATCTAGAATATTTTTCATGGATTTAAATCTACAGAAAAATCTAATATTCTTTCAAGCTATGATCATTTCAAATGTAAAGATGACTGTCAAATTCGAAAGTCTAGTCATGATAACTAAGTCTTACTCACACTAATCGAGAATAAGGAAACTAATCTCATAGACTATCCGAATAAAAAAAATAAGTATGACACCTAATTTTTAGCACATAGCACCTTGTTTTCAGACATTGTTTCTTTAACTTCTTTGGTTTGACAAATCAATTGAGTATTGTAATTCTATGACTAATATTAACATTCGATTAGTAGAAGTTCGAATATACGTTAAAAGTATAGAATTTTATTAATGATATAAGCAGAACATATAAAATGAATGTAAGAAATAAAAATTTATACTGTTGAATAAATATGTAAAAAAAAAAACAAAAAAGGCAACCCGTATATATGCTCTAAAGATTGCGAAAGACAAATAAGAAAGAAGAGTGATGACAAAATAACAACAAGATGTAAGCTGAATATTAATATATCCAGCAATGAAAACATGTAAACTTATTTGATAATACTGTGCAAACAAGAATACAAATATAATAAACCATTTATGTATCACACATTGCATCGCACGGAAGAAAAAAATAGAGTTTTTTTTAGTTTGAATCATACATATTGATAAAATTTAAATTGTTTGTTTAAATATTAACAATGTTCAGAAAAATAATTTTCATCTTGACTCATAGTTCGTTGATATGTAGCTCTTGAAGATATTTTTTCATCTTGATCATTATTTTCTGGTTTTTCATCCATTATTCCTGTAAATTCAGGTTGATCTTCTGCTTCATTTTGTGTTAATGAATTAGGTAAAGATTGTTTTTCGATTGACGATCGTTTTGTTGCATTGGGTAAAACGATAACATCATCTGTAGATAAAATAGGGTTTTGTACAGTAGCTAATTTTTGTTGGTCGCTAAGACGTTTTTGTAATGATGAGCGTTTTTCATTTTGATCAACATCTTCATTATACATAATATCATCATTATATTCAACATCTTCAGTGATTGATTGTGGAGGTCGAAACGTTTCACTAGTAATGCCACCATGTGCTTGATAAAATGGATTATATAAATCCATTCGACGAGATGAATATCGTGCAGGTAATGAATGTACCGTATCATATTGCCCAAAATCTTGTAATTCATAAATACTATGTAATGTTTGTTGATAATCAAATGGACGATTTGAACGCATACCAGATGCCAATGATGCTGCATCATTGAAATTGTTTGCTACTTCTGAACGTTTTTCTTCTGGTCGAACATTGCGTTTAGCAAATGTTGAACGATGACGACGAAAAGTCTTACTTATTGATGTCGGAATAGTTTCTATTTGCAATAATGTTCGTGGTAATGGTATTTTTTTTGTTTCAGGTAATAAAAGGGCCATTGAACCGAGAACTAAGGAAAGAACTCCATAAATCAGACGAGGCATCCAATCGTTTACTTCACCCTTAAAATTAAGTTTTTAATAGGTGAAAAATTTCACATAAAGAAGGAGAAGGTCAATAAATGATGAAATTGGATCTATATAGAAATATGGTTTCTGTCATGTCAAACTCTCGCTTAAAGTGTTTCAAAGTGATCTCTGGTAGAGTTAGACCTACTACACTTGATTTTGTTGTGTTCAGACCGATTGAAATAGTCAATGGCTTTCGAACTTATACTATGCCTAACTGTTGAAGATAATCAGCTGCTTTTCTCTCTCAATTCGAGAACAGACTAGACTAGTATTGCTAAGATTCAATATCACTTTTCGAGTCATCCAAAATGGTATAAAAATATTGAGGAAAGAACGCATTGGTCACATAAAAAATCGCAAGAAGACTATTTTCGGGACGTGGTTTCTATTCTTTTTGCCTGATATGTTAGAGATTTCCACGAAAAAATACGATTTGAATAAAAATTAGTATAATATTCTGGATCGAAATCCAAAACTGAGTGAACTTATGTGTATTTTAAACATTATCACGGCCTTGTTTTTTTCGTCGAAAAAGTCATTCTTGATGCTCCTCTGGGTTGAGTCAAAAGATGAAAATCATGAAAACTCTGTTTTTTTTTATTGTTTTTTCATCCGCTATTCGGAATTCTACTAATGTTTTGTAACCTTAGACCTTGATTTCTACTGTTAATAGAACTTTTCGATGAAATACATTTTTTGACTCATTCCTGAGGGGGTCAAGAGTGAATTTTTTCACGAAAATAAAAGGTTATGGAAATTTTTAAGATACACATAAGTCCACTCCATCGTGGATGCTGATTCAAAATATCATATTAATTTTCATTGATCTTTGAATTCTTCTGTGTAATTAGTGTTTTTCCGTCATATTTTTATATGATTTCAAATAGCCTAAAACTACTGATTATCATCAACAGTTACGTTGAATGTACATGTGACAGCTAATATAACTATTTCTACTAGGGTTTACTTTCGGACACTTTGTGCGATAGTTTGAAATAAAACAAATCAAGTTTTTCGAGGAGGATATTTTCAATAGTTATCGACCTCTCCTATTCTTTTCTTACCACATCTGGAGAAGCAAGTGCAACACCAATTAGTCGAAATGTATAACAAATACCAAGTGCTGTACATCTTCAAACAAAAGGAAACTATTATAAGTATATTTGATTTTATATTTACCTTAAACCCGTTGGGAATATTTCACATGTATAAATAATTAACACAAGAAATGCAGCACGAGTTGCAATTTTACCCATGAAATAAACAACAAGCATTGCCGAATGTGTTTGTTCATTATCTTAATATTAGTTTAAATAAAAATGAATAAGAAGAAAAAAATAGGACAATCTATTACCTAATTTACCAGCAACTGAACCAAGTAGACAAACTTCTGCAATAAGAAAAAAACCAAATGTTGGCCATCGACGACCCCATCTAAATAATAAAAATTTATTTATTATGCAAAAACAAAACACCGTATGGACACATTACATATAAACCAAAGGAAATGCTATTATAAATGAGATGACTTGTATAAGATGTGTATAAAAATAATTCAAAAAAAAATTATCCGTTAAATGTTGAGTTAAATGTGGAGCTTCAAGACTGTATTCTGTTAAAGAACTAACAAGCCTTTAAGAAAAAAGAAAATCAAAAAAATTGATTAAGAAAAGCTGGTTTTTTGTTTTTAAATACAAACCATAGGCCACACATGATAAGTAAATAAATAGTTACTATAGGTGAACAAAAGAAATCTGTCGGATAAAACGTTGATATTGTTGGATAATAATGATGACCAGTGATAACTTTTAATATACGTTGTGATAAAGTTGTCTTTTTACCTGTTGTTGTTTGTAAATCTACCATGTCAAAATCGGGATATTTTTCATTCAATCCTTTTATATCCTCTAAATGAAATTTGTGTTTCGTTCTAAAAACGAACATTTTATCTGATTATTAAATAAACAAACCTAATCGAAGTAATGGTTGAAAATCACATTGAATGCCTTTTGAACGTTTACCACGAAGAAATTCACGTGCTTCACGAAATACATTTTCAAAAACGACACCATTGAATTCAGATATTCTTTTTAAAGATAATATAGCTGTTACATAATCTTTTTGAGATGTATACCAAAACATTGATTCTTCCATAAACCTAAATTTACACATTAATTTTCTTTTATGTAAAGATTTTGTTTTTTTTTTTAATACTATCTTGAAATAAAAAATGTTTCTAGAACAATTTCAATTCTTTTGTGACTAAGAAGTGAAGTCATTCGCTGTTGTCTCTCACTCCTCACATTCTATAAATTATCATTGCTATTCCATAACAAATCAAAACTATAAGTACAATGTCTACGAGATTGAAATGTGAAATACAATGTAATTGTTTTTATTAATCGAAGAGAAATTGTTTTACTGTATATATTTTGAGACACATCTCTTCACCGTCTTTTTTACTTAATCTTCCAAAAATATAAATAAGGAACTAGTCTATATATTATCATGAGACATTTTTTATATAGACGCCGTGATTCAGAGAAGAAATATTGCTAATACCAGGAATGTGGTGTTTCTGGAGTGCACAGCTTTTCCACTTTTAGAAAATTGTACATGGACTTAACTGTTATCAAATAATTTCCTTGCACTTCTGCCCATTTTTTTCTCTTTACCACATCCAGAGCTAAAACATCTGTCAGAATGTGTGATTGTACATCAATACAATCTGACGCAATCTATGATATGAGGGAATGCTGCTAAGGTGTCTGCTATGGTCTGTGATGAAGGGAAGGAAGAGAAAGAAGGAAGAAGACTCATATCCTTTGGCTAATGTTCGGTATGGGACCAGTCGTTAACGGCAGATCTATTAGTCCAATATATTCCCTGCAACTATTAAACAGCTGTAACTCTGGACAGAAGGCTAGCCTGATGCACAGTTCCCTGTACATACATACTACTCACGAGAGTATGTATAGGTCACAACTTAGTCAGCATGCTATCGGATGGATAATCTGAAGCAAACAGTCGTTAGGAACTTCTCTAGGGCCATTCTATGAGTGGTAGCACCACAATTTGAACACAGTAGCTATTGAATTCGTACCAAACAGCATAGTCACTTAGCCAGGACGATCGATGAAGGACAAATGTTGCTAAGGATGTCTATCATACTTCTAATCTATCGTTGTTAAGATGCTTGTCATTGTCTGCGAGATGGGAGAGTGGAAATTTCTAATCTGAATACTTCAACATCGCCTATAGATCGTATTTAGTGGAACATATTTACAATATTATACTAACTGAAGAACTAATTGCATCTTGTTTCATATCTGACTTCTAAATGCATTCTGTTGAGAGACTTTTGAATGAATAATCACAAGTATTCATCGATACCTTGCTGACAATCGAAGTACTTGTGTTGTTAGTTAATAAGACTAGACATATTTGGACCAAATTTAAGCTTTCACTGCCAAACTAAGAAATTAAAAATATAGGATGCTCTTATCGTACATGGACCAAGTAATTCGAATTTTCAAGTATTCATTTTATACGTAAAGTGTTGGCTATTCAAAATTTCAGTAGATTTTTTTAAAAATTATAGCTACGTAAATCTCATCAAGTTGCATAAGAAAATGTATGTTTCAAACAAAAAACAAACTTCCCAAAAAAAAAAATCTATGCCAAAATTCTGAATTACTAGCACCTTAGGTATATAATAAATACCTAAAAATTCAACTTTATTATTTCTCTCAAAGTCTTTAATAGTTTGAAAAAGTTTTATTTTATTCAAAACTTTGATAGCCTGCTTTGAAATTATTTGTGCGTTTAAATCTTTATTTTTTAAAAACTATCTGATCAATTTAGATTTTCTATTCTATCTTCTTATCAACATACCAATAAAGACATGCGGTTACAATCAATGGAATGGAAACGATTACTTGTAAAGTTTTCCAATTTTTTATTCCTAATGCAAGCCATGGTATAATCAAATCTAATAAAAATACTGCACCAATTAATGATAAACCATAAATAGTTCGTGTTTGAACTGGAAACTAAATAAATTTCTTGAAAAATTTTTAAACAATTTAAAAAAATATTAATCTTTTACCATTTCCATAACATATGGTACAGTAATAACATGTACAGCACCAATAGCCAGTCCGATAAAAAGCATAAAAAAAACATAAGAAATATAATCTTCACTTAATAATTGAAATATTGATATAATACATGCTGCCCACATTGAACCTTTAATTATTTTTATTAATTTAAAAAATCAGAAGAAAAAAAACAAAATTAAACAATTTACCGAGTAAAATCATTTTTCTTCCACTATGATCAGCAAGATAACCAAATATGAGACCACCCAAAATTAAACCAATTATATATATTATATAAGGCACTTTCACACGTACTTTATCACATAAAGTATTAAACTAGAAAAAAAAGTCATTCTCGAAAACATAAAATATATATGCAAAAAAAAATAAAAATAGCTGGTTAATTAATTCCTTTCCCTCGAGCACTTATATTACTACCATCAGATCATACATCTAATTGAAAGATTTTTTCTTTTTGTTCAAAGTTCGACAAAGAAAATTCTTACATCAGTAAGTACACTTCGCCCATATTCTTTGCTATAATTATATTTTGGTTCGTTCTTTTTTCTTTCTTCAATAAGAGTTCTTCCAGTACCGTTATACAAAACTGTCATTGTTGTTTCATCCAATTCCGTAGATGCTCTATAAGTTATATTTGATTGATTTGAATAATATGGTGTACAATCAATATATTTTGGTGGTAACACTAAATATTTCATTTAGAAAAGAAAACGTCAAATATAAAGAAATTTATTTTAGTTAAAAATTCTTACGAGCAAATGATGGCATTTTTGTCAACCAAGCTCCAACAACAGCATAGCCCAATACCAAAAATAGATAAACACGCAGTTGATGTTTACCAAATAAACCTTTGTGTGTACTTTTTAATGCTTTATCTGAATCCCAAGTTTTTTGTGGTTTTACATTTAGTAATGTTTTAGACGTTGGCATTACTGTTGGACTAATTGTTGTAAGTATTGGTTCTAGATAATTTAAATAAGATATATCATACATTGTTCTGATTTCTTTTCTCAATTATATAATGATTGACAGACTTATTGTTTGTTTGTGTTAGTCAATTATTTATATGCAAAAATACATGCTTTTACTAACCATATTCCCATTCAGATCCGTTAAAACTATTTTTATATTGACGAACATGACGACCATCGCGTTGCGAAAAGCTAACAGAATGATTTCTACGATAATGTGGGTCGACTGTCATCATAGATCTATATCGGTCTAGTTTGTCGATGGATATGTACAAAAATAATGAGAACAAAAATGTGTAGATTGATATGTGATTAGGTAAGTTATTATACAAATGTTTAAACGAAGGTTTTTGTAAGCACTAATGGACAAAGAATAGCAATGCCTGATTGCGTTTTCGAGTATATTCGCTAAGAGCGAAAAATAAACACACGTTATGCTTATGAATACTACTTTTGAAGAAAGGAAAATTTGTTGTGTTCTTTTTTTCCTGTTCTTTTCAAGCCTTTTTGCCTCTTGATACATGTGTTTTTTTGCACAAAAAAATACGAATGCCCAGAAAATATTGATAGTCAATTGAGTAAAAGAAGAAATTATTCACGGACATACGTGCTATGACGGATGTAAAAACTCATTAAAAAAAATAACACTTCGATTTATTGATGAAGAACGAGAGAAACAAACAATCGTAAATATATAAAAAATATTGATGATAGAAAAAAAGAAGCCCAAACAATTTACAGATCACCTACGTTCGTTAGCCATATTGTCTTGATGGTTAGCTATCATCCTCTGTCGTCGTATGAGAAAAAACAAAATGCTTGTTATTCTACTGGATTTTTTTATGTCGATATAATCTCATTAAATGTCACCAAGAAGAAAAACATAAATTCGGATGATAGTGTAGGATGCATAGATCTACTATTTTTTTCGATTTGTTTTACGCACATAAGAAAAACAATAAAACGCCCTCTTTGGCCTATTCTAGATATCAGTGAAAGTAAATATGACGATGATTTTTGTCCGAAAAGAGATTAAATCATTCTTATATCTATATATAGATCGATAGATTTTAGATAAAAAGTTCTATTAAGTAACTTTTAAATTTATGAAATATTTATTTCATAGTCTCTGGAAATAGTGATCATTTGTTTTTTTGTCTCATATGCCTATGACGCTGTATTTTGTTGTTTGTAAATACTTTGTCATTCGTCACCTTTGATTTTATACATTAACCCATCAAAATATACAGACGTTTGCGTACCTTAATATTGTTCTTTATTCTCTTGAAAATCAAACTTACTTGTTTATCCTTCGTAAATAATATGTCAGGAGAAAAATGAGAAAAATATTCTAAAGAAATAAGAAAAACTTAATGATTACACTGTAGACCTATATAACTGATTTTTGGTTTGCATGGCTTGTTGTTTGGACAGCCCAAAAGAAATAGAAGAAATGTGCATACCGAATCGTGACGTACTTTTCTTTTTTTTGACTTTCTCATTTTTTTGTCTTTCCTACGAACAAACATCATCGTATGAAATGCTTAAGTTCCATTTACATTTTTTTTAGCTCATTCTTTTATTTATTTTTTTCATACATACACATATAACGAATGTGCTACAAAAAGTGGCGCCATTTGTTTTTACACTTGTGCCTTCTGACTCAAGTTACATCGAGTCACAACTTTCATCGAAAGATTCTTTTTTTCAATTTTCTACAAAATAATATCGAGTGTCTGAAGTAGAACGATCCGCTCATAATGGTGTCAATTACTTTCTTAACTTTGATCAACTGAACTTAAGTTTTCTATCAAAAGGTTTTACATTCAGTTCTTTATAATTCTCCTTAAAAAATTGTTTAATTTAAGTTTAACGAGTAAGATTATGAACTTGAAATAGTATTTTGTTGGTAATTTGGAAACAAAAGTTTGGTCTTCAACATATAATAAATTGTTTCTGATTATTAACAATTAGTGAATTTAGCATTTGTCTATTTAATGATATAACTTAGAGCAAATGTCGATAGATAGATATCTACAGAGGTCAATGAAATTCTCCATAAGTAATATCGCATCGATGTTCTTGTTCAAGACAGTATTTCGAAAAATTGTATTCCAATTTAAGCTCATATTACATCAAGACAAAAGTTAAAAATAGCTTCTATTTTTTGATCGATAAAATGATCTCGACAGGTACCTTGAACAACAACATCAATTTGATATTATCTATGAAGACACTTATTAACCTCTATACATATTGATCTACCAACATGTATCTGAGATTGTTCAATTAAATAGAAAAATGTTAATTTACTAATTTTTAACAATCAAAAATAATTGATCCGATATGGGAGACTAAATTATTTCTGAATTTTCAAAGAAATATGGCTTCAAGTCCACAAGCTCACTCGTTAATCTTAGATTAAATAATATTTTTTTTGGACGATTTATAAACAATCGGATGTAGAACTTTTTGATATAAAGCTCAAGCTTGGTTGATCTAAGTTAAGAAAGTGATTAACACGATTATGAGAGGTCCATGTCTCCTTAAACATTCAATTTATCCTAATACATGAATTAATCGTTCTAGATTTCGAATACTTGATAAAAATGTTGAAGCTATAAAAATTTATTCGAATTTCTCAAAATAGTATTTTCCATAAATTTTATTCAACATGTTTCTATTATTTGAAATAGGTTACACCTTATGTAAATATATTTTCATTTGATAGTTTGAATGAATTCGCTTGAAATATTATTCATATATGAAGTGAATATATATCCGTGTAAAATATTATTGTTTAGATGACTGCAAACATGCTGTAGAAAATTTATCCAATATCATGATTGTGAGAAATTTTCTGGGTGATTGTTATAGCTTACTGTAAAATTTAAATATTTCAAGCTAATCACCACCACTTGTGTTTATTTCGTAGAGATAGAAATAGAACAATGATTATTATCGATCAATTTAACATACCTATCATTTTTTACATCAATAATTAAATACTATTATAATTATTTAACACTTTGGGGACCGAATTATTTTTCAATTGAAAAATGGTTCTTTCGTCAATTTATTGTATGTGGCTCAAAATGATTACATAAAAGTCTTATGCCAATACATCAAGATAGGAAAGAAAGTGATCATGGCGTCAGCGTATAGAGCAGAAAGAAAAGAGAAGATCTGAGAAGCATCTATATGACAGGAAGAAAGAGAGGAAAGATATGCATGCGATGGTAGCTGAAACGACCTATTACCTTACAGATGATAATAGTTTTATGAGAAACAAACATTTTCCTTACTGGAAAATAGGTGGTACAACCCTTGTACCACGGTCCCCAAAGGGTTAAAACGATGGAACCTGCACTAGCTTTTTTTTCTTTTATCATCGTATAATCGATGATAAAATAAGATAATTCCTCCTATAACATGCCCTTGTATTTGGTCATTTTGTGGAAAGTACTTTCGAGTGTCTGAATATAACAATTTCTTTCGGCTTATGTAAGAGCTAAGAGGAGTTATGAAGTTTGCCAGAATCGATTATTTCTTCGTATTTGATATAAGTAGCAAAGTAATTCTTACCAAGCCATCTACTCGTAAAACGCATTCTGCAACCCTTTAAGGAAAAAGAAATTTGAATTCTAAAATTTAGATATTTTCAGTGATTTTTGTATGTTGTAATTTATATAAAAATACGATACTGATTAATTATCTTACATTTCTTCAATACAACGTTCAATTGTTTTGTAATTTGGAGATATATATATCTCGTGAATAGACACTTATACATACGAATTTTTATTGAAAACTTATAACGTCAAAAGCGTACAATTTAACGTTTCACGAACTTTTTATTTTGTAGAACTCACATGTGATTCAAAAAAATAGTGAGAGTAAGTTTTGTGGCTCCGCCTGCTCATTACTGACCTTAGCAACCGGGATTAAAGGCGTTGAACGGCATCAATAGCAAGGCTTAGAAGATCCTAAAGCATTCTCCTTGAAAATTAAATATCTGGAATACGTCATCCAATACTTTTAATGGCATAGTTTCTAATTTCGCGCAGCTTAACGATTATATGTTAAATATCCAGGATGATGTTTTAATTTTCCACAACTGTCATATGGCCAACACAAAAGCATAAAGTGATTAAATTTTAACTTTCGATAATAAGCAATATCAGTGTTTCTGAATTCAACTATCGTTTTCTGGAGATTTTACACTGTGCGTCTTTTGTATTACGCAGCATAGTGAAGCTAAAGAAAACATCTAAGTTCCATGTTTCAATCCTGGAAGGGGCTACCATAACAAGCTTTTTCATGGTATGCCCAACTTCATCTTCAGACACATCTTAGAGCCTCTAACTTCAAGAAAACGATATTTCTGCTAAAGGAAAAATATACGACCCCATAGCACCAAATCGAGCGAACAAAGTTTTTCTGGAAGTCATCATAAAAGTACAGGGCTTAGTAAGAATGACTTTTTCAAATGACATCAACTGAGGAGGAAAACTCGATTTTTGCAAACTTCATAACTCCTGTTAGATCTTATCCAAGTCAAAAGATATTATAGTATTCAGACACTTGTAAATACTCTCTACAAATTGACCAAAAGGAGCAGGAACCTATATGAATTATCTTTTGGATCGTCCCCAATTTTCTTCTATTCATAATTTGTCTAATGTAGAGTTTCATGAGAAATCGTTTGGCAGCAAAATAAAGTGATTTCTGAAGGATTCAGGTCTACTTTTGTTCAAATTATTGAGAATGAGATTTGTACCATAAATGCATTATTCATACATGGAAGAAGGCCTTGTATAACTCTTCTCATACTGAGACAATTTCAAATGAAAACTATGCCAACCAACTATCCATCTTATAGTATTTCTCTGAAAAAAATCAGCTAGAAGGATTGAATTATTACAGAGTTATTACGTAAATGTTGTTCCAAATGAGCATGAAAATCATATAATAATGTTACTATTTCCCTCCCCTATATTCTTAATATCTTGAGAAAGGAAA